AAATTCATATAATGGCTGGTAGTACTCCAAGATCTCCAATGAAGCTCTTCAACCATATAGCCTCCTTCGATGCTTCGCTTGTGGCAATATACTCTGATTCACGAGTAGAATCAGCCACAGTCTCCTGCTTGGAACTTTTCCAAGTTACTACTCCTCTATTAAAGGTAAACACCCAGCTTGACTGAGAATAAAAGTTGTCTCCGTCTGTCTGAAAGCTGGCGTCACTATACCCAGTAACTCTTAAGTCATCACTGCCACCAAGAACAAGGACCCAGTCCTTAGTTCTTCGCAGATACTTAAGTATGTTCTTAACCGCTATCCAATGAGCTTTACCCGGAGTTCCCTGATATCGACTAACCATGCTCAAAGAAAAAGCCACGTGAGGGCAAGTACATGTCATAGCATACATGATCGATCCAATGGCGAAAGCATATGGAACTCGACTCATTTTTGCTATCTCTACATCGGTACTCGGACTTTGAGTCATACTCAGCTTGGTATTACTTTGGATAGGTAACTCCTCTTTCTTTGAATTCTCCATGCTAAAAAGCTTTAGCACCTTTTCCAAATACGTACTTTGACTAAGTCCATTTAGTCTTTTACTCCTATTTCTCAAAATCCTTATTCCTAGAATATAAGCAGCCTCTCCCAGATCCTTCATAGTGAAACACTTTCCAAGCCAGGACTTAACTTCCTGCAAGGATGGAATGTCGTTTCCTATAAGTAGTATGATATCAACATACAATACCACGAAGGTGACTATACTCCCACTAGCTTTGACATATACACAAGATTCATCCTCACTTCTAGATGATACTGTACTCATACCCTTTGTGAGGGGATTTGTAGGATTCTATTCAGATGATACCCTCTTTATGACGAGGTTTCCTTCTTCTACTTTATGTATGATAAAGTGATATTTTCTGTCCATATGTCTCGATCTACCGTGATCTCTTGGTTCCTTGGTCAAGACAACCGCTCCATTATTATCGCAGAAAATTTCCATCGGCTGACTGGCACAACTCCAAGGTCTCCAATGATGTTCTTCAACCATATAACCTATTTCGATGCTTCGCTTGCTGCAATGTACTTTGATTCACATGTTGAATCAACCACTATTTTCTGCTTGGAACTTTTCCAAGTCATATCTCCTTCATTAAAGGTAAACACCCAACCAGACTGGGAACGGAAGTTATCTCTATCTGTCTGAAAACTGGTGTCACTATACCCAATAACTCTTAAGTTATCATTGCCACCAAGCACAAGGACCCAGTCCTTAGTCCTTCGCAGATACTTATGAATGTTCTTGACCGCTATCCAATGAGCTTGACCAGGATTTCCCTGATATCGACTAACCATGCTCAAAGCAAAAGCCACATCAGGGCGAGTACATGTCATAGCATACATGATCGATCCAATTGCGGAAGCATATGAAACTCAACTCATTTCTGCTATCTCAGCATCAGTACTCGGACTTTGAGTCTTACTCAGTTTGGTATTAATCTGGATAGGAAACTCTCCTTTCTTGGAATTCTCAATGTTAAAACGCTTTAGCACCTTATCCAAATATGTACTTTGAATACGTCCAATTAGTCTTCTACTTCTGTTTCTCAAAATCCTTATTCTATAAGCTTCCTTCATAGCGAAACACTTTTCAAGCCACGAATTAACTTCCTGGAAGGTTGGAATGTAGTTTCCTATAAGTAGTATGTCATCAACATACAACACCAGGAAGGTGACTATACTCCCACTAGCTTTGACATATACACAAGATTTATCCTCACTTCTGGAGAAGCCAAACTCTTTAACATTCTCATCAAAGCAAAGATTCCATCTGTGAGAAGCTTGTTTCAATCCATAGAGTGATTTATCAAGCTTACATACTCTATTAGGGTATTTAGCTTCTACAAAAACCTCTGACTGATTCATGTAAAAATCCTCATCCAACTTTCCATTAAGGAAAGCGGTTTTAACATCTATCTGCCAAATTTTATAGTCATGAAACGCAGCTATGGCTAACATAACCCTAATAGATTTAATCTTAGCTACCGGTGAGAAGGTGTTATCATAGTCAACCCTTGGGGTTTGAGTAAAGCCCTTCGCAACCAGTCGAGCCTTGAAGGTATGCACCTTTCCTTCCATGTCGGTCTTCTTCTTGAAGATCCATTTGCACCCAACTGTCTTTCGACCTGGTACATTGTCAACCAAGTTCCAAACTTGATTGTCATACATGGATTGGATCTCGCTCTCCATTGCCTCTTTCCATTTAGCAGACTCAGGGCCCGCCATGGCTTCCTTGTAGTTAGAAGGTTTGTCCAAATTTACCAGTGTACTATCACTGATAAACGTATCACCATATGTAGTTATATGGAAACCATAAAACTATGGTGTCATTCTAACTCGAGTGGAACGTCTAAGAGGTAACGACTCGTCAATAGGTTCAACGGGAATTTCTTCCTCGGGTTGAGTGCTAGTGTTAGAGGTTCCTTCATCGCTTGGCTCTTGAATTTCTTTAAGATCAATTGCACTCCCAATGTCCTCTTTGAATATGAGCTCTCTCTCACGAAAGACTCCTTTTCGTGCTACGAATACCACGTTCTCACTAGGTCTATTGAACAAGTACCCAAAGGACTTCTATGGATAGCCGATGAAAATACATCGCTCACTTAGAGGTTCAAGCTTGTCGTGAGTCTCTCGTCTAACAAAACCTTCACAACCCCAAACATTAATATGTGCGAACGAGGGAACCTTCCCTGTCCACATATCATGAGGTGTTTTGGCAACCTTCTTTGTCGGAACAAGATTTAGAATGTGGGCGACAGTCTCTAAGGTATACCCCCATAATGAGATTGGTCGTGAAGCTCGACTCATCATGGAACGAACCATGTCCAACAAGGTTCGATTACGCCTCTCAGCCACACCATTAAGCTGTGGTGTCCAAGGAGGTGTCAATTATGATACAATTCCACATTCGTTGAGGTAGTAGTGGAACTCGATACTAAGATACTCACCACCCTTATCAGATCTGAGCATCTTGATCTTCCTGCACAATTGATTCTCGACTTCATTTTTGAACTCTTTGAACTTTTCAAAGGTTTCTGACTTATGCTTAAGCAGATATATCCATATCTGCTATAATCATCGGTAAATGTCACATAAAATCGATTTGCATCCCTTGTGGTGGATCTGAACGGCCCACACACATCCGTGTATATGAGATCCCACAATCCCTCACCTCTTTCACATGAACCTGTGAAAAGTGATTTAGTCATCTTTCCATGTAAACAAGACTCACATGTATCATGTGACCCTAAGTCAAATGATTCCAACACTCCATCCTTTTGGAGTTGGGCAATACGTTTCTTGTTGACATGTCCAAGACGACAATGCCACAAGCATGCTTTGTCTAAACCATTAGACAAGTAAATTTGCAACACACTATTTCCTAAATTGTCTACAACCATCACAGTTTCATACATGCCATCACAAGGTAATGCTTCAAAATAAAATACACCATTATAGTAAGCATAAATAAAACCATTCTCATTATCAAAAGAATATCTAAAACCTTGTCTATATAAACCATGAAATGAAATAATATTTCTTGTCATTTCTGACGAGTAGCAACAATTATTTAATTCTAAACATAACCCACTACTAAGCACTAAAGAATAAACACCAATCTTGGTAACAGACGACGATCTCCTATTGCCCATAATTAGGTTCATTTTACCATGCTCCACATATTCACTTCTTCTTAGTCCCTACAAGTCAGAGCAAATGTGAAAACCACACCATGTATCAAGAACCCAAGATTTCTAATGTGATGAGTTTTTAGATAGAATAGTGTAAATACCTGCCGAGGTTGGCTTGACCTTGCCATCCTTTATGTCTTGCAGGTACTTGGGGCAACTTCTCTTCCAATCCCCCTTGTCATGGCAGTAAAATCAAGTAGCCTCTCGGAGGCAGGGTGAGCTTAGGAACTAGATTTGCCTTTAGGGCCATTACTTAACGACCCGTCTTGAGACTTCCCTTTCCAGTTCTGTTTCGAGGGAGCTTTCCTCTTTTTACCTTTCCCTTGCCCTATTGCCAAGACGGGAGCAGCAACAGCAGCAGGAGTGGAGGCAATACTCTTTCCCTTCATTCCACTCTTGGAGGTTCTCAGCAAGCTTTGGAGTTGACTCAATGTAGTTTCCTCCTTGTTCGGATGATAAGTCATAACAAATTGATCATAATAGCTAGGCAATGAGATCAAGACTATGTCAATTATGGGTGTTCACGGGGCAGTTCGGCTCGGGTAGTAATAAAATTGTGAACCGTGATCACGGGGCGTGTACTTTACTTGCACTAACCGTAACCGAACCGCATTATACAAAAACCCGAACCGAACCGAACCGTGTGAAGGCGGGTAACCACGGTTCGGTTCACGGTTACTCAGTAAATAATTAAATATAAAAAAAACAAAATTAATTAAAAAAAAGCTACATTCAAGTGAATTGTAAAATATACATTCAAAACAAAGTCATTCAAAACAAAGTCATCCAAAACAAACAATTCAACAAGAGATTTTAAAAGTGTTTAACAAAAGTTTGATAACGCAAAAAAACATCCATAATCACTTCAACAAGACATAAAAACAGCAGCAAATCATCTCAAAATCAGCAGCAAACCTGCAAAAGAAAAAAACAACATTTAGTACAAATAGCAAAAAAAAACAGCACATATAAAATAGTATAAAGACTGCACAAAATAACACCAAAAACAACACTAAAAAACTGCACAAAACAGCACCAAAAACCTGCACAAAACAGCAAAAAAACCTGCACAAAACTGCATTAAAAACTGCACAAAGCAGCTCAAAAACCCCACAAAACAACTATCAAATGTACAAAAAACAACAATAAAATCTGTAAAAAAAACTGCACAAAAAATTGCATATAAACAGCACTCTAAAGCACAAAAAAAAACAGTTAAATACAAAATTTTACCGTCTTAAAACTTTAATCATCCACAGTAAGGGCGGATATAGCTTGAGGCAAGTCTTTCACTTCTGAAACAATAAAAATTATACATTAGATTTAATAAAACATGAAACTATAAAACTTAAAAAAACAAAGTCATACCGGCTTCATAATTTTCAAGAGCTTCAAAACTTTCCTCAATATTAATAGGAACGTTTTTGGACCTAAGCTAATTTTGACAACATATCAATGCGTCCACCGTTTTGGGGGTCAATGAGCTACGAAATGCATCAAGAACGCGTCCCCGGTACTAAATGAAGATTCCGAGGCTACAGTTGAGGCGGGAATTGCCAAAACATCCCTAGCAATTGCCGCGATGACCGGAAACCTTGCTTGATTTTTCTTCCACCAAGTAAGTATATCGAACTTGTTGTCCAAAGACTCACATTGCTCACCCAAATACCAATCCAACTCACACTTTGCAGCTATAATTATCAAAAAATATTACAATAAAAAAATCAATTATGTAAGTATAAATAACAAAATTAAAAGAAAGACAACTTGTAAATTACCTATACCACTTGAGATCTCTTCCAACAATCTTTTGTATTGGTTGTTCAAAAAAGTTGTCGGATCATCATCAACATCAATAACAATTCTTCAACATTTTCGGAACTACTTGTCGGATTTTCGTTAATAACTCCAACTTCATGTGAGTAATTAGCATACAAATCTCGCAATACTTTCTCTACTTGATCACACAAATTTTTGGCTTTTTCTTCATCATAAGTTTGGCTAATAATGAAGGAAACATAACCTAACTTGTATCGTGGATCAAGAATTGGAGCAATAAATAAAAACACATTTATGTTCGATGAATTGCTCCAATACTTATCATATTTCTCCTTCATTTTAGCCGCCATCTTTTTAAAACCATCATCACTTGTTATCATCTTTTTTTTATCATTGCCCCAATGCCAAAGACTTCATGAAAGTAATTGTTGCTAGTGACATACAAAGAGCCAGAAATACGCAAAGTGGATGTATAAAAACCTCTCAAGAAAGGTAACATACACCTAACATGCTCCCAATCTTCTTCATTGGGCAAACCCTTCAATGATAAAAGCTCGGACCTGTACTTACTATCTTGCTCCTCCAATAAATCAAAAGCATCTTGAAACTTGATGGCACTTTCTAGCATCAAGTATGTTGAATTCCACCTTGTTTCAACATCAAGAGAAACAAGGCTTTTACTCTTAATTTTCATTTTCTCAACACATCCCTTAAAGCGTTGAAGCCTAGCTGGAGAAGACCTCACATATTTCATAGTTGATCTAATCCGGGCAATACTTGTGTCTACATCATTGAAACCTTCTTTGATAACAAGACTTAAGATGTGGGCACAACATCTCATATGAAAATGTTGACTATCCAACACACTATGCTTCCATGCATTCAATCTTCTTTTTAGGTATCGAATACAAAGGTCAATTGAACTAGCATTGTCAACTCTAATTGTGAAAACCTTGTCAATTCCCCAATCAAGTAAGTTCTTCTCCACATATTTTCCAATTATCTCACCAGAATGACCAGGAACATGACAAAAGTTTAATATTCTTTTGTGAATGGTCCAATCTTTATCAATAAAATGAGTTGTCAAACACATGTAACTAAGATTTTGCCTAGAAGTCCACAAAACGGTTGTCAAAGAAACTCGTTGTCTGTTCTTAGCAAAATACTTCTTCAACTTTTCTGCTTCTGACTTGTATATCTCCAAACAATCATTAGTAATACTGGTTCTTGAAGGGATTTGAAATTGTGGTTGCAACATGTTCAGAAGGTCACGGAACCCTTCATTTTCGACAGTCTTGAAAGGTAATTCATCAATAATGATCATTATAGCACACAAATATCTACACTTGGCTTGGTCAAATTTCTAAGGGACAAATGTAGATATGATTTCTCCGTTTTCTTGTATAGAAGCTTGGTTTTGAAACATCAATAGTTTTTGTTTTTTGTCGATGCTATCGGGGTTCTTAGTGCAACGTGCTGTATGATTCCGCATAGAACTAGTTCCATTCTTACTAGGACAATGAAATCGTCTAGTACAATGCTTACAAATAAAGTAATCATGATTATCAGGATCTCTAGTAAAATGTTGCCATGCTTCAGAAGTATCCACTTTTTTCTTTCTCTTTTCAGTCTTTTTCCCTTCATCCACTTTCTTGGCACTTTCTGTTGCAGGTGAAGGATTAACACTTGCATTTGAACTTCCAGATTGTTGTGTTGGTAAAGAATCAACATCAACCTCCATTTCAGCAATTTGTTTTTCAGAAAATCAGTAAGTCATAATCCCAAATAAGTCAGAAAAAAAAACTATTTTTTGTTGGAGTTCAAATATAGACATAATCTACATGCATACATTGATACATTGATATAAGACATAATCTACAACAGCAAACAGATAGTCAATAACTCAATCAGATACCAAAAATTTGTGAAATATGGTACCTATGTTTGTCACCTGGTTCCTAGCTTTAACAGTTAACAATAAATCATTACTGGAGCAGCAATATTACTTAAATACATGAATATTAAACAATAGATCATAGCATTGACTTAAGGATTTTGAAGGTTTGTTGTTTGTGAAATAAGATAAAACAGAAAGGGTAATGTCGAGAAGACGAGAAGTGATGCAGGTAGCCAGGTATGAACAATTTGACGAAGAAAAAATGAGAAATCGAACCAAGTAAGGGGAATACGAAATACCTAATTACCGAGTACCAAACAACGGAGATAGAGAGAATGATGTGTCGATGTCGTTGTAATCCTGTAACTGACCGTCGTCACGTCGTGAACTACTTCTGCCTTCTCGACTCTTGAGCTCCTGTAACAACGACGTCGCTGACGAGAGCAATGGTGGAATTCCGGCGAGATGACGAAGAATGGTGTGACTTGTGACTGAGTGAAAGTTCGAACGAGAACGATGGACGATGAGGCGATGATCGAGTGATCAGTGCTTGAATTGTTGCCCTAAGCGAGAGAATGGGTACAGTGACTATAATCGAGTGCCATTTGGGCCATTTGGAATGGGCTGTAACAAATTTGTAATTAAATTCTATATTCTTTTATTATATTACATAATAGAAATAATATATATACATATAAATAATATAATACAGTTCGGTTCGGGTATCTGCGGGTATTTGAATATCCAAACCGAAATCGACCCGTATATACCCGGTTTTTTCGGTTTCGGTTTTTTTCGGTTTCGGATCGACCGGATCGGTTCGGTTTGGTTTTACGGTTTTTTTGCACACCCCTAATGTCAATAGTTAATTCCTCATCAAAGTTAACATTGAGCTTCAACAGACAATCTACATAATGTTGCATGCGTTGTAAGTGGGTCATGACAGACTCTCCATCCTTCATCTTGCTGGTTATAGGTGACTTAACTATTTCGTACCTATCTTGACAGGCTAGTTGATGGTACTTCTCCATCAAGTCCTTGCACATATCATAAGGCCAATAATACTCATACAACCTTTGCATCTCGGGAGTCATAGTCTCCTATATTCAGCAATTTCATCAATCTTGTTTAGCTCCTTTTCGAGAACGTATTCCTTGTCCTCGAACCTCAAGGCCATTATGATGTTACGAATCCAATTATTAAAAGTATAACCATTAAATGTGACCTTCGAGCAGATGCTCAAGAGCGAGAAGTGGTTGGAGTTGTTATTGGAGAAGTCGGAAGCATTATTTGAAGTTGACATCTGAAAAAAAGGATAAGATTTGATTAGATAAGAAAATCCTCAATATAACACCCAAATGAAATATTAAGGCTAGTATCCAACTAAATAATTCAAAATTCGGAAGACAATTCCACCACCACGAAAACAAAATTTTACCAATTCCAATTGCAAATTATTTAAAGGTAGGTAAATAACGATTTACCAATTCCACCACCACGAAAACAAAATTTTAAGCGAATTAAGTTTTAAATGAAATTCCTAGGTCTTTTGAGATTCATTGAACTATTCAATGACATGTTTAATCTCGAATATACCATTTCCATTTGTGTCTGGGATACCGAGGATCAGAAACAAGGTGTGAATAACTATGCAAATTAGCTTGGTACTCTCGATGTCATTTATCATCTAGTTAATGTGTCGGTTAACCACACACGCTCCATTAATCAACGATAATTTACGAGCTACCCATTCCAACCCTTTATTACTCCATATTAGTGTGTCGGTTAACCACACACGCTCCACTAACGACTTTTATAAAGTGCAATGTGCATTTTCATGGATTAGCATCAAATTCATATTTTCCCAATGTAACTAAGATTGGCAATTTTATGAAAACATTTAGTTACTTCATATATTTGATTATACTTATTAATGAGATTTAAGTGTCCTATCAAACCCGTTCGGCTAACAACCCTCCACTAGTCAAGAGAGCGATGGGTAAGAGTGGATACCCAATGACGGTCATTTTATAGGCCGCTTCCTTAAACTCTCCTTATAGACCAGCT